ACTAATATCGATATATTTTTGTCAAATTTTTATGATATCTTCAAACATATATTTTATTCAAAAATAAAAACATCATCGTTTTCTCAAAATCACATAAAGTCATATTATAACATCGACTGAGATAAATAATAAAATGAAATATTAAAATCATGATGTATCTCGCTGCATTGCGCGAGTACGCTTCTAGTATTAAATAATATTTCCAACTTTTATCCATGATTTCCTCTATCTTTATTATAATATTTTTTTTAATAACCAACAACATTTTTAAATGATCACGTTAAAAAAAAATTAATAATTATTTTTAACTAAATAAATATATTGAATAATAATAATAATATAAATTTATTTGATAAAATTAATAATAATTTTAAAGAATCAATAATTATACTAGTGAATAATTTCTATTTAAAATCAATTTTAATTAATAAATTGGTAATTAATAATTTACATAAAATAACAATCAACATTAATCAAGGTTATAATCAAAAATAAAAGCGACAATAATGAGATATTATAACTAGTTTTTCAATGAACTAACTAATAAATTAGCTTATATTCATTTACATATGTACTCAAAAAATAAGGTAGCTTATGTTTGCTGAACAATGTCTAACTAATCCCTTTGATGATCACAGATGCCATGGAGTCATTATAGTTTAACAATGTCTGTATTTAAGATGAGATCTCTACTAAATCCTCTGAAACTTAACCAATACGTCACAACATCATTTGGCAAAACACAAAAAGAACTGATAAAATATCTAAAACACAAGATAACGATAAGACCTAATGATACGACATAATACTTCATAAAACGAACTGGAGGCTCTTTCGCTCCTTTTTGAAACCACAAAATAAAATCGAGACTGTGGAGGATAGAACGAATCATGAGTTATGATTGAGTTTTCGAGTTATCGATTTTAGAATCAAGATGTATTTATACTTCTAGTTTATATATAGGGTTTAGAAAGCACAAAAAGACCAAAAGAAAAAACGATCATATAACGGCTATATTTATAAAAAAAAAACGGCTACTTTTTTAAAAACCGGGTCGGGCCCATGACCGCTCCCGGTCGGGCCGGTCCCTCGAAACCCTCCAAAACCATAACCGGTCTTGGTCGGCGGTCCTATAACTGGTCCTTATCGGACCAGGCCGTTTGACAATCACTAATTACATTGTATTGAAGGAAAAAGGTTGGTACCGTACCAAGTCGACCCCTAAGTACAAATAACTTTTTTGTAAGATTATAAATATTCAGCAATAATTGATTATTCAAATTTGACCCTATATCTTATGGACACTTAAAATGGGCTATCAATATTTACCAAACCTAACATTGAAATGTCTATCATAATTTCAAAGAAAAGCTAATTGGAGAAAAATCAGGTACAAGAAACACGTATTAGACCATGCAAACATTAATATTTTATGCAGCAAAATCTGTTTTCCATGATCCTGATTAACTTCAAAAAAGATTGTATGGAAAGTTAAGGTGATATTTGTTTTTTAAAATGCGATAAAGTTTAAAAACTTATTTCACTTCTAATTGATATATTTCAATATATCTCCAAAATCTCTCATGTTT